TTATAGGTTACAATTTTTAAGTCCACCTTAAAATTCATTTCACCTTAAATTTCATTTTCCAAGGAACTTGTTACTGTTCTCTTCAGTAGCAACTTTTGGTTCCAGTATAGGGTTAAATATTTCAAGCATTCCTTGAGCCAATTTATGAAATGTTTCCTTTAAGGTGGCCATCTGGTGCTCTCTAGTGATTAACTTTCAAGGCTTTGTTATCAGGTCAAAATGTAAACATAAAGTTCTTTCCCACATGAGAGGATCTTTTTAATTAACTTCCAAGTCTTTCTTTAAATCAATTTCATCCAAATCCTTAGTGTTTAAAAACTTTCCAAAGAACAACACTATAATTACCCTTTTGTTATAGATCTTTTTAATTAACTTCCAAGTCTTTCTTTAAATCAATTTCATCCAAATCCTTAGTGTTTAAAAACTTTCCAAAGAACAACACTATAATTACCCTTTTGTTATATATTTCAAAAAATAAAGATCTTACAAAGCTGGAAACATGTAATTTTCTTGCTTCTTAAATGGATTGAAGAGAACTCACCCAGCAAATGTCCAACTTGCAGCTTGGAACGTTCTTCAATCTTAAAGAAACAGTGAGAAAAAAAAATTAAACTCCAAGGTGATGAAAAAGATGAGGTTTGGATGAACTTTAATTCCTTAAAAGGCTACAGAGGCTCAGAGCATGATGAAACCCATGATTCCCAGCTGATTGCAAGCAGCTGCAAAAACAACCAGCTGTCCAGAATGCATGAGAATAATCTCAAGATCTCTCTTTGGTCTAGAGAGAATTATGGGCAGTCTGGATCCTGCATCCAGCTGCCTTTCAGCAGCAATATCTCCTGTGAAGTGCGGGCATCAGTTCTCCAGCCTCACCAGAAGTATACTCTCCATCTTGCCTTTTCTGAACACTTGTGTTGGTTCCAGTGCAGACAGATGTATTTGGGTGCTCTGGGAAAATCTGAATTTCAAAAACTCCAATCCTGGCACCCTTATTTGGGAAGAAACCTCTGTAGAACTCTCTGAACTTACACCTGGCACACAGCCAAAGGATATGGTTTTGTAGTCCTTAAACTGCTGAGAGGAAGGGAACACCCCCCCCCCCTTGGAAATGCTTTTTTTGTTTTGCTTAAAAGGGGTAGGACCCGGGGCAGATGAAGTCCTCTATGGATGACATTAGCTAGCACTATGGTCCTGGCAGAATATCTCTGGAATTATGGCATGCTGAGTCTTTTTTATTTCTTCACTCTGGTTTGCTGTGAGAAAGAGAACATTGTTGTGGAAAAAAATGAGTTTTTCACTTAATGGAAAGGTATGCTAATGTCAAAGATAGGATAAATAAAGGTAAGTGGCTTTAAAAGTGTCTCTGACACCAGCTTTTTCAAGTGAGAAGTATTTTTCCTGTTAAAAAATGTATTCTATTAGTTGGGGATGTATATAAAGGTGAAAAAACCCTGAATAAAATGTTTTCTAAGCAGAAAATTGAACCAAAGAAAATATGTACTGTTGATTTCCCCATCTCTATCAACCCATGCAACTCTTTCTTGTAAATATCACATACCTTTTTTTCTCAACATGAAGTCAGGGTGCAAATATTTCTAATACTATTTCTGCTTCTAATACAGGAAAATATTAGAATGAGTGTTGGAGGGATATTAGTGCTTCTTATAGCCAGAGGGGAAAGTGGATGGGTCATGGAACTAAGGACACATTGCTGTCCTGGCCCAGCCAGAGATAGACTGAAAGGCCATGGCAGCTGGAGAGGTTGGAATTGGAGGAATACCGGGACAGAGACAGAATATTAAAGCTACTTGGGAAAGCCAAGAGTTGTTGTGTCCAGTTAGGTCTGTTTCTGACTTGTTGGTCCTGCTCCTGTCAGAGAGGCTGTGCTGGTGGAGAGGTGGACCTGACAATGCTAGCAGGAAGAGGAGATGCTGCTAGGGAATAATCACATGAGAGGACATAGCCCACAGCTGCATAACAGGTGGAGAAAGAAACTCAGAAAGGAACCTCCCTAACTTCTCATGCTGTAAAAGAGAGGGCAGGAGATTTGTACTTTCAGACTTGCAAGATTCTGTTAAGGTAGCCTTACAATAAAGTAGAATTAGCTCATCTGGTTGTGTTTCATGTCTGATCTACCTGGGAAGGCTGACAGCAAGGCAGCAGCACTGTGGTCATTGGAAGGGAGACATATGGCATAGGCAGCATAGCAACTCTATCCTGGTAGTATTGGGCAAGGGGAGTATATAGGGGACTAATGGGTGAATTGTTCCAGGTGAATGGAGATCTTTGATTTGGTGGTGATCTCCACTTCTGACCAGGTAACTCCTTCCAGGGACCCAGGTCATCAGATTGTTAGTATTCCTTGGTTCAAAGTGTTGCTGGTCAACACTAGATCTATCTGTAATAAGACTTCATCCATCCATGACCCGCTGATGGATGAACAGGAAGACCTCTCATATATAAATGAGACTCAGCTGGGCAAGGACAGTGATGTCATCCATATGAAATCTGTCTTGCATCAACCTCAGGTCAGAGAAAAGGGGTGGCGTTGATCTGTCATAGGTTCTGAGGTAGTGAGATGTGAATGCCTATGTATTAGTTGGATTGTAGGTTGAAATGTGGTTGACTTTGTCCATGTGTTGAGAGATTAAGAAATTTTCATCATATTTGCTGACTATCAGTTGATTTTTGGGGATGTATTCTGCCAATCATAGATTTTTAATTTTTGCCATTGATAGTATGTGTGTATATCTGTGAACTGCTGAATGTCTTTGAATGGATTGCAGTGGGAAAATACTACTACTACTACTACCAAGGCCTGCAAATAGAAGTATTTGCCACACAACTGGGGCAAAAGAAAGCAAAGATAGTACCAATAGTAACAGGCGCCTTGGGTGCAATCCCAAAACATGTGGAGCACCACTTGAAGCCCATCGGGATTGACAAAATCACCATCAGTCAATTGCAAAAGGCAGCTTTACTTGGAACAGC